GTACTATAATTTCAACAGATTATTCATAAGTATAACTACAATGAACGGTTTGAAGATAATTTAATCCAGTATATATGTATAAAGGTAACAGAAATTTGAATATTAACGAGCAGACGGGATATAACTCGATATCCAATAACATTAAACTGTTGATTTCATTGCGCCAGCAGCGTATTCACTTTATATACGGGCTGAGTTTACAATGTTGCTTCAAATATCAATGCTTAATTTATCAGTACGCATTCAGAAGTGAAAATTATTATCGATATTTCATCGCGATAATCGAGATGAAATCGAGTGCGGCGGTATACTAAGAGCTGGTAACGTGTCTTTGACCAATAACAACAAAACGTTGGTATACCGTCCAATTTTATTTGATACGCAAGTTGTACTTTTACCACCTCTCTACTTTCAAGATACTATGTAGGAATATTGTAATATGAAAACAGGAGGGGTCTTGATATAGTTGTATTGTATAGAGTTGTCTCGATTGAAATCATTTATATGCTAATGAGAGAGGAGGCGGCACGATTCCAGTAAAACCGGTATGTAGCTGTTGACTTCGAATACTTTGTACAATTATCGTTGAAAAAAATAACCACAAGATCGTAAAAAAATCTTACAGCTAATTGAAAATTTATTCAGACGCATCTTAAAAGATTATTCTTTTTTAAAATGTTTCTTTTTTATAATTTGGTGCTGAAGTAAACAAATAAATTGCGCTACCAAAAATGTTTAATTTCCACTTTTAATTTTTACTAATAACAAAGACATAGAGACATCTCAAAACGCGAAGGAATGCTCTCCTTGCTACTCAAAAAAGCCAGTATATTTATTTTAGTTAGTAGAAATTTTATTTATTTTATAATTTTATTAAATAGTAATATCGTTTTACCTTAGTAATTACGATAAATGACAAAGGTGGTAATTATAATAAAATTGAAATACTATTATTGCTTGTTTTATTAAATCGACCTTGATACCTTGAACTTTGCATCACTTATGGGTCAGAATATACAAGGATGTGTGTAAATGAATACAGGAAAAACTCTTGCCCATAAAGACCTTAGACGCAGTTGACAACATAACGCAATCTAAGATAAGCTGTGGGTCGCTTTTTACTCGTATTCTTATAGGAATCGTCTCAGATTTTATAAAATATAATGGTCACTCTATTTGCGTTCCACGTTCTTCTAAATATACTTGTAATCAAAATTACTTCTGTTTAGTACAAACCTGCTTACAATATGTAACTGTAACTTTTGGATTCTTTTTCGTATATAGATGGATGTCATTTTGAGATGCAAACGTCTTTCAGTTCAAATAAATAAATAAAATCAATAGAATTGTGCGTTTGTATAAAAGCTTCGATGTAAATGTGTAATCCAATTGTTTATTTTAAACATTCTTTACGATTTACACGTCTCAGTGGCGCCACCCATGAATCATATTTTCGACTATAGGCTCTAACTTTTTGATTTATACTAGTAATTATGTTATACTGTTATTTTTGCTAAAAGGACATCTTGATAATTTCTTCTGAGACATTTGGTAAATCAAAATTTAATAGACAAATTTGTAAAAAGTTTTGAAATCGTAACATTTGAAAAACGTTCCGAGAATGGACGTTTTGCTACAAAATACACCTTGAAGCATCTTTCTCCTGCCATAAAGTTGTCGATAGATGGCGGTGTTAAAAAATGTCGGCTCTAGTTAAATATTTAGGCTCTACGAGAAATTAATTTATAAAACACATATTTTATAAACTAAGTATGATTTTTTTATTTTATTTTTGGCATAGAGTGTTTTACAATAAACTTAAACAGTTGCTCTTCAGTCAGTATTTCTTTTAGAAACTACAGAACCAGAGTTAGCTTCGAATAAAGTAATCCAAAGATGCATAGCGACCTCTACCATACTTACCAAGATAACATAACATCACCAATGGTAGAGACTCAGCAGCTCAGCTCGATATCTATATTTTCATACTGGCTAAATGTAGATAGGTATATAATAATCATCCAAATATTATCCAATAGTTTGGGAGAATGGATGGATGTTCGTTAGAGTTCTTAGGCTAAACTGCTGAACTGATCACGATGCAATTTGGCATAGATGTAGAGCATAGTGTAGTAGAATACATAGGCTACTTTATTTTTTTTAAGTCTACACGGACGGTGTTGTAAGCGACAATTAGTTATACATACTATTTGATGCATCAGCTAGGCTTTGGGATGGATTTAAAAAAATATATATTTAATTTTAAACTCGGTTCTAATACTGTGTAAGAAACATGTAACGTTGAATGTCAATAGACAATAGAATTACTTCTTTCTGTAAACAATGAGGCCCTATGACAGCATCCGTATTGTAAGAAAAACGGTTGCATTAGCACGTAGCTGCTATTAACGACGATTCGTTAAGGATCACGCTACGAGAGAAAATGACGCAAACTTGCTGATTGCGTTTAGATGCATGTTAGCATATTCTAAATAGAACATGCAGAAAACTTTAAAGCATGTGCGAGGAAGTAATTAAAAAAATAAAATAAATACAGCGATTATCGTATTGGACGACTTCCAGCATTGAAAACCTGGTGGAAATGTTGTTTTCACTTAATAAAAAGATGGTTATAATTGTGGATACTCGCTCGTAGACCTTTTATAAATTACAAAGGGTTAGACTTGGTAATTATTACTGAAAAAAATGTTGTTTTAATGACAAAACGACTAAGGTTTCTCTCTAGTATACTTAATAATGATCTTTACAATAGCAATATTGGTATTCAAGTTTTTACTTTACGACATAACAAAAGCTGCGTTACTTTTAATAAGCTTACATTCTGTTTGTATTAGTTTTATGCGTAAGATACAAACTACCTTCTCATGACTTATACATAAGCAAAGCAATAAGTTTAATTATGATTTATAGATCCTCCTTCATACACTGCGTAATGAGGCCCTCGAACAGTTGGTGGTTCCACTTCAGGGACTTAAGAATGAATAAATCACATGCGTAGGTAAGCGGTTATTTCTGTCTGTGTCTTATTGTATTCGTGGACATATTGTGGAATATGCAACCATAGTGCATTTTAAATTCTACCTTATGTCTATAGGGTAGAGTCTAATTTCGCATAACTCGATCTCATTGTTCCAGTAAGGAAATGTCTGAAGCTTTCTCTCACGTATTATAGTAATTGTGATTTAGGTCTCCAATCATGATTTGATGGGTTTTATGAATGAATTCAGGCGTGGGGAAGATAAAGTATTATAGACAATACTTGCTGTTGAAGAACATTTAAATTGTGTTTCTTATCAAATTTTTAATAAGATATAATTAACGTTTTTAGTGTAGCACATTTTACGGCGTTTTCTTCATTTTATTTTTCTGGTATAAAATTGACATTTTTAATTACAGTTCAATGATAATTTGACAATGAATTTTCTAACATTATCCATAACAGTATAAAAGAAATATAATCACATCATAAAGGTAAAAATTAAAAGAAACCAAGACACGACGAAATATTTAATCTTTTTCCCTTTCATACATTCTTTTCTAAATTCGTCATAAAACTGAGAGCACATTCATTTAAAATTATACATTATACTTAACAAAAACCTCACATTTTTTCTGGCGTGTAATTAACTACATTAATTTATCTGTACAATAATAATTACGAGACCTTTAATTATTACATATAGATTAGGTAAGTATGGTTCTATAAGTAAACTACTGAAACATGAAAATTCTTAAGGAAGCGGATTATAGTCTGAAAAGCTACCTCCTAACTATCAATGCATACAACCAATAAGTACTCTGCCAATTAGTAACATTACCTTCTTTAAGTTATTCTCTCATTTTGCACATTCTACATTACAATGTATTGAACGAAACCATTTTAAAAGGCGGGAATTTTAAATTTATACAGATGAATAAAATACCAAGGAAACTATAACAATCATTTGAAACAATTGAAGCAATCATTTCAGTATTTAATAAAAAAAATTACTAAAAAATTCCTAAAGAGAATGTAACATTTGAAGGTAAATGTGTACTAAAAAGTGGCGATTCTATATTCATATGGCTTTTCAGACATTTTAAATCGCTTTCGCAGTGACCATTTTCGATTAATTTTAAATAATTTAGATAACTTTTGTAAAACATAATTACTTACGGCTTTAATACATCGTCTAAGTTATTTACAATTACAAATTTCCGAATATCTATCCATTATCGAACAAAGCCACATCTAAGGACTATGAATGTAACACTAGAATTTTCTTTCCTACTAGACTGTATGAAAATTGTTGTTTATAAAAATAAAATATTGTTTTGTTTACACAAGTTTTTCTGACAATTTAAATTGATTTGCACTTATGTAGAAATTCGGTCAACTAGACGAGGTCGCCATTTTGTACAAAACATTTTATTTGTAACGTTATGGAATACAGTTTCAATGAATTAAATGAGAGTTAACTACTGCTTACAATGAGACATTCATTACATAAATATATGAAGTAGGAAAGAAGTGGGAGTAGTAAGAGTAATCTAAGCGAGACAGATATATTTTCCACCTCTAAACATTTTTGTCTACTTAAAAAAACGACATACAATCTGTACACAGTAAGTCTAAGATTTAAAATTCGATGTATTAAGAAAGAGATATAAATGGAAGAAGTTCATATACTGTAACTATACTCGTGTATAAATAAATAATAAAATATTCAACTAAAACAAAAAAAAAATATAAACGCAATAGACAGGCTTAAGCGAACAGTACAATGAGTCAATAGAGGACAATATTAATGCACTTGCCCATATTACCTAATTATACATTGATTATAACATCAACTTCAATATTTTCAAAATAGTCATAACAGTAACTTAATGTAACTACTGGAACCGAGTTAAAGCTTTGACAGAAATACATAATTTAAAATAACAAAATTTACGATTTACGAGATAAGAAATTAAACAGTAATAAATATTTGATCATAATGCGGGCTGCAATCACTGTCATTAATGTAAAATAAACAATATGTTGCCAGCAACTGAGATAGAGTTTGTCTGTGGACAACGTACAAGCTGCAAACATATCTATAACTGCCACCAAAGCGACCCGAGTAATTCAACAATTTGGTAACAAAAATAAAAGTTAACTGGTTAAAGACTATACCACCGTCCGAACAGCATACAAATAAAACGGTAAAGCAGTCTCAGATAATATATTACAAGAAATCCCTTCGCGACAAACTATCTAGGATCTACAATCCATCGGTGACGTCTTTAATTTTACATTTATATTTACTTAAATAATTTTTCAAAATACATAATCAGCGTTCTATAACTAGATATTAATAATATCAGGAATCGTTATCTGCTCACGTACTAAGTCTCGTTACAGTTACAAGAACAATTCGTCATTAACACTATACACAAACCGACAGCACGATAAATATTACTTTGAGATTCTCTGGGACTCGTTGTCTTTACGTACGAAGCGGCATAGCAACGTTCACTCCGGACACGAACAAAACCTCGGAACCTTTAAGTACCTGCGTGACACAACACTACATCTGTCCTCGCATTTAACTGGCTATACCGTGGTGCAGCGGGTAGGTCCCAGAGAAGGGCGCGGGTCACTGATGATGCTTGGCGGGCGGTGCATGGTGCAGCGCGACATGATGAGGCGCATGGTGGTGCCCGCCGTGGTGATTGTGGTTATTCGCATTTGAATTGTTATTATTATTCTGTGCTGCCTGCGCCGCTTGTCGCTGCGAATTCTTCTTGTTCTTCATTCGTCTGTTCTGGAACCATATCTTGACTTGTCTCTCTGTCAGGTTCAAATTCCTCGCAAGCTCCCACCGCTTCTGTTTAGACACGTAGGCGTTGAAGAGGAACTCTTTTTCCAACTCGAGAGTCTGGAATTTGGAGTAGGGTTTGCGTTTTTTGCGCACTGTCACCTGCCCGGTCCAGTCCAAGGGGTTCGAGGAGCCGCAGCCTACGCCGACGCCCACCGACATCGACAAGGAACCTGGACAAACAAATAAAGGATATTTAACACTTATTTTTCAAATATTCATCAAAGTTTCAGTAAATATCAATTATTCATGAAGACATTCAACCAACTACTGTTTATTGTGAAGTATATAATTTACAATTAACCTATCCATTCGCGGCTAAAGAATACTGAGCTAAACAATAACAGAGTACAAAACCATAAATTTTAATTACAATAACCTTGAAACCCGAATCGCAGCAGCGCAGCAGAACAGGTAGTTAACTAGCAATTTCTATGCGAAGCTAAAGAGAAATAATCGCAGGTCGAGGCGATAGAAGTAACACGCCGCGCGGTTTATGTGAGCGGTCCTTTTGATGAGATCATCGGCTGACTTTGTATGCGAGGTCCGCAACAGTCTCGATATTCGATGCAGTCCGCACACTGCACCATTTCCTATTATTCAAAACGGTACAGCGAATGTTGCGAAATAGACACGGCATTGTCTGAACGAGACGACAAACTATTCAATGTTTTTACGAATAGAGCCTGTAGTAAGGAGCTTAGAGCTTCGCAGATGAAGACGGATAAGACATTAAATTCAACTGCTCTGTTGTAACTTGTGCTCGTTTACTCATTAACACTAAGAATAAAAAATCTCAGTTGAGAATTTAGGAGTCTGTTTAAATGGTAATTAATATTTTTTTTACTTTAATTATTTCACCACATTAAGAAACAAAGTATAAGTGGCACTCAAAACCCTCTCAACCCTAAATTATAAGTTAAGCTGTAAGTAGACCCTACGGTTTACATGCCCGTTTAGAATGACCCGTCGTAGTATTCATGTCCATTAGATATCTAAGCGTAACATAAAACTGCCCTACCGCAACATCAGAATTGCGTTGCCTCACCTTGAAATATTTTTTTACTCTGAACCGTTTTAATGTTGTTTAATAAATCAGTTTTTATTGATGTGATTAATTACTCTTAAAACGTGTTTCATTTCATAAATTCGTAAATCAAAATGTATGTCACATTTTGATTTATACTGCTTTTAATTTATACAAATAGTTTAATGTATTTTTTTTAATATTTTGGCTTGTATTTGTTAGGACCACAATCTGAAACGAATTTTAAACGCTTCGCTTAGTAAGCGTCGCTTACAATCTGACTACCGCTAAAATTTTAATGGGATTTTATTTAAAGCGTGGTCTTATCATTTAAGATGCTGTTGGATATTTAAACATCGTTTCACTATTCAGCTTTTAATATTATAAAATAATAAGCAACTGAAAACAAGATTACGAATAAGAAATCAAGTCTGACATTAGAATTGTTTAGCTTCTTTTCTTAATACAGAATAATATTGTAGCACAAGCGGTTACTGTAGAGTTCGCGGAATGTTCTCTGAAACTTCGTGAAACAAATATAACTTGCAAGTTGGAACGAGCGTCAGTTTCGCTGCGGACTTCAAATGAAATTATTGTGTCCGGTTGAGCCTTGAATGTTACATGTTTCATCTAACCTAAAAAATTTTCATTTAAATAAAACTTCTTTGTAAATGGATTATAGAATTATATAATGCTCGTAAGATACGGGTTTCTTACTTTTTATCGGGAAATATCGGTAGCTAAAACAACCAAATCGTGGTAAGAAACCCGTATCTTACGAACATTATAATTGTAAAAACCACGACAGTTTAAAGTTAGGTTATAGAACATTTAAATGTGAAACCTAACAGAAACAAATTATTAAAATCTATAGATTTTGTTTTATAAATAGTTAAACGGTTTCGTTGACAAATCTCTATGACTTTAAAAAGTCAAGTATTTAAAAAAGTTATTAACGCAAACTTGCTTTCAAACTCTTATTTGTTACGTTTAAGAAGCAATTAGTGTCATAAAAGTGTAAAGACAAGCGAAGATGTCAATTATAAAAAAGGTAGCGATCAGTGGCAGTAAAAGTGCGGTTGTCTTCGCTCATAAAAACGTACCTATTCGTACACGGGTTTGCTCCATTCTGAGAAAATTCTATCATAAACAGCAAGACAGTTCTTATGTCTTTGTAATAGAGTTGAAATTTGAATATAAAATCGTTTAAGAGCATTTCATGTTTATGAAATGGCTTATTTTCGTTTATTTGTTGCGTATTGATAATGTAAGGGAATCACAGAAATAGCAGCGCGTATATAAGATCTATTCAAGAAAGTTAAGTATTTATGTGACCGTAAAGTTAGTAAACATTAGCTAATCATAATAATTATATAACAGTTAAAAGCAATAAATACAGAAATCAAAGTCAATGTCAACCCGATTCGAGCTATAAACACAATAATAACGCCGCGAGCCCCACAGGTAACAGGTACAACTTTTTCTACAATTGTTTCCCTTTAATGGGCCATTATATACGCGTTTTACGCAAAATTATGTCAAGTTACACCTCTGGCATTGCAGAAGCGCGATAAAGCCATCTTTATGGTCAGGCGGCGATCGAAAACGAACTAGCGACGCGGCTTTATGAATGGAGTGTTTTTATTGCTCTCATATTGACATGACGCTTTTAGTTTCGTAATTACTACTTACTAGCGCGATTTGGGGAGGCAACCAGTATTATTGCATGTCTGACGTCGCCGCGGTTTTACGATATCATAAAAGTGATATACATCTACGAGTGAATCTTATGCACCGACCTAGCCGGCGAGCCTCCGGGCGCTTCCTCTACCATTTTTTATCGCCTCATCAGCTTATAATGTGTTTATTGTGGCAATATTTGGTTTATTGCCACTACTGAGAGATCAGTTTATTGTTTTAACGTTCAGGTATCGTGTTTATTTATTAGTTATACATTTTTATTGGCGCTTTATTTTACGTAAACTTTAATTTATTGTTGGTTGTATAGCGCCGTTTTACATTGCCTATAAAACGGTGCTTACGGTTCGTTTTTAAACATTCGTAGCACGTGTTTCGTTCATTCATCAGATTTATGGTGGTCTGTGGGAAAATGTTATGATTGGAGCGTTGGCTCGCTGCTCAAGGGAAGTTTTGGAAGATTACATGAAGGTTACAACACGCCATGTTTACGTTACTCAGACGGACGTTCGACTGTAATAATAACATTACTTCCGCGATGTTTTGCAGAGGTTTATAACAACTTTCTTATATTTAATTTACTTTATTTTTTAATATTTCAACTTCTATTTTTTCACAGAATAAAGTAAAATCCATTTAATCTTCATTTTACGTATGTACGATAGCGTACATATTATTTTTATTAACAGTAAAATTAAAATTACGAAACGAACGAGAACGAGATTGCGAGGATAACAACAAAAAATAGGCAAAAATGTAGAAATATTCGAAGATGTAACGATTCAGGTTTTCCAAAAGAAAATAATTCTAAGGACGTGAGTGTGCAGTGCATTACTGATAATGACACCCTCACTGGCGCACAGAGCGCGGCGAGAGCGAGTACGCTGGTGTGCGCCACGCACACATGGAACGCCGCGCCGCTGTGTGCCGCATGACACCGCCATCTAGGGACCAAAGGCTGACAACTAAGTGGGTCAAGGTTGATAAACCCATAGAAACATTACTTCAAAAGTTTTCAAATAAAACTTAGACTAATTAGAAATATACTAATTACACAACTAAATACAATCTCAAACTCTAAGAAATCATGGCCTCGAACCCGACCACTAGAATTGAGTTGGTAAACTAAAGTCATTTGTTTACAAATTCTATAGACTTGTAAAGTGTGTGTAGTACACGTCAGAGAAGCGATAAGTTAAAAGATTACATACAGTACGATCACGATCGGACGTTAATAATGTAAGGGTCGGGTTTGAGGAGCAATGAGAACAGCATAGTTTAATTGAACAGGTACTAACCAGGTAGTCCACTGGGCGGTGGGTACGGTGCGCTGGACACCGTCTCGGGCGCGTAGTTCCGAAGACCGTACG